CAGGAATGCAGTTCCCCAAACAGAATTATGGTGGCGGTTTGAAAGACAAAGCAAACAGAAAACTGTCCAAAATAAACTTTTAGTCTCAACGTTTAAAAAAATGCTAAACTAGTCCTTGGTCTGTTTTAATGAAAGTTAACGTAGTCTTCATTAGGGATCATTTCAACCCATATTAAAATAGTCTAACGGCTAAATTGACACTTCTGGACTAAAATAATTATTTTGCGAAGAGTCAGGGACCATTTTGACACTTTTCTCTCTCAGGAAATGTTGCTTATGTGGTTTTTAAGAAAAAAAAAGTTTGATCCAGCATAGTTAACTGGAATGCTTAATATGTAACCAAATACTAACTTGGATGAAGTTTATAAATTAATTTGAATGCTATATTTTTATTTATTTATTTTTTGTGTGAAAGAGATTCAGTTATATTTGATCATTTTGGCAGTTCAATTTTGGAACGAACTTGTTATGAATCTCTTTTTTTTTTCCTCCATGAATTGTAGTTATCGTTTAGTTTTGTTATGCTTTTGCTTTACACAATTATTTTGCAGCTGGTGTCCTTGGCGGATCTAGAGTTTGACTACATTAACCCGTATGATTTATCATCACGGATAAATGCAGTGATTTTACCTGAATTTGTACTTCAAGGAACCTTATGTTTGCTATACCTTTTTTCGGGTCAATGGATGCTGTTTCTTTTTTCTGCTCCAATGCTAATCTACAATGTGAGACTGTAAGTTTGCAGTTTCTCCCTTATTGCATGCCTTATTTTGATTTCCATGTTCAACATTTATTTACGAATGCATTTTTTATATTCTACATTTTGAGTTTTTTTATTTATTCAGTTTGTCTGCAATTAGCTTTTGTGAGGATTTGAATCTTTGTTATTGCTTCTTTTTCTGTATATGCTTTTGAATTCATCATGTTATTCCTTTATTTCTCTCTGGAAAGACCTTGATGGTGGCAATAGAACTTGGTCTGTCTCTGGTGCTTGAATCAATGTCCTATGCATATTGGTGGTGTCAAAAGTAGCTCAGCAATTGATTTACTTCTATTTGGTTTGTTAAATTTTTGAACCCAACTATTAATGTTCGTTCTAAAGAAGTTCAAACGAAACCGTGATATTCTTTAAAAAAAAATCTATTTATTCTTTTTCATTCAGTTGTTTTTTTAATTTTAAGATTCAACCCAAAAAATTGTGTTTTATAGAATATAAAGGGCATGTGTACAACCTAAATATTCTCATACACAAAAAACATTTTGATGAACTATAAATAATCAAAATGCAAACTCTTCTTAAACTTATAATTTCAAATTAATGTTCTTTTTAAGACTGTTAATTCTCATCAACATTTGACAGTTAGAAGAGATGGAAACACAAGGGTGAGAAGTGAGGAGTAATGAGACCGAGAACTGAGTGTGAATATAATTTAATAGTTTGCATAATAAAAATTTTGCCCCTTGAATTTGAAATTTACAAGTAATTAAGTAAAGAAGAATAAATTGAGTTATGAAAATAATGTGTACATTTTCATCTCTGAAAGAATGATGTTTGGTTTGATATTTCTTTGATTTTTTCGTCAAGATATTAAACTAAACTGAATCATTTATTCCTGTTCAATTTCTTATACAAATCATTGGATTTCTTTGGCTTTTAAATTTTCTTGTTTGATTTGGTTTAGTTTAGACAGTTTTTTATGATTTAAAATTTTTCTTCATCCTCTTCTCGATGATAATTCAAAATTTACCGTCAAGTTTAGGTGACGCAATTTTTAGAAAAGGAAGCGTATCTATATCCATACCAATGGAGGGAGGACGTTTGTCATGCCAAACCAAAGAATAACGACAAAAGGGTGGTTTTATAAACCCAATCACACCAAAGATCGACGACTCTTTTATTTTGCACCCATCTTTGTGCATGACGGATTTATCAAGAGACGGAAAACTGAAATTTTACTTGAATTTATTTATGAGGAATTTATTAGATTGAAATTTTATTACGGCCTGACCCAATGCTTAGAATTAACTAAGGCGGGTACAACTGTTAGACGGTATTAACATCTAACTATCAAATTTTTTTAATGTTTTCGATACATATAAAAGAGCCGCTAATAATCTACAGGTACAATAAGGAAATTTAAATCATTCAACAATAACAAAAAATTTGCAGGTAAAATCTTAGTTCTCACAATAATAAATTTCTACCCAAAAGAAATAATATAAAAAAAAATTACAAACATATCGTATTAGCGTCTATCAGCTGCAATCCTTCTCTTGTAAACCAAGTCTCTCCTATGAGACATATCAAATGAAAGTTTTTCTTTTTCTAAAAGAAAATATTAATTGCAACCATAAGTATAACTTAGTAAGTGATTGCAATCTAATATGCATTAAATTACAATGCTTATGCTATGTATGAATGTCTAAAAGAAAATACAATTCATTTCTCTATAAACCTTGAACTTTCACTTTAATTTTATCTCTTCCCGTTTTACTTGAACTATTTATTAATTTAACCTCTTTTATAGTCATCATGAGAGTATCATCATACCCGAAGGTATTCTAAAAAAATTATCCTAAAATACCCTCAAAATTTTACCTGAAGACATCCACAAATTGTACCCTAAGGTACACCCTAGCCATTTTGTTTTAACGTACACGATTACACTGCATCCCCTGCCAATACCATCTGGGAGTAATCTTGCATGAATTAAACCTTTAAATTTCATTTCATATGATTTAAAATCATTTAAAATGTTGTTTTATATTTTCATTATTTTTCTCCCATTTGTGATGTCATTTAAGACTATCAAAATTTAAGACATGAATGAAATACTTGTTTTTAACCATTTAATAAAACATTTGTTCATTTAATAAAGTATTAATTTAATGCATAAAAGAAAATTATCACTCACTTTAACTCGTAAAAGACTCTTGAATTAGCTTAAGCCTTCACTTTATTGTACTTCTCTTAGCACTTCAACCTCTCTATCGTACTTTATTCCAGCCGTTTGATAACTTAATATTACTAAAGTTAATTCATAAATATTGTTGAATTGAAATTATCAACACTATTAATTAACTAATTTGTATAATCTTTACCTTATCTCTCTTGAATCTTTTGCTTCATCTCTTACTCAATTCCCAAGAATTTATCAGCCTTTAATTCTTGGCTAAAAGTTCTCGAAAAAGGCACTATTTTAATTTGACATTTTACTAATATTGTATAAATAACACACATACAACAATTCATTAATTAGTTTAATAAAATTTAATATGCCTTGAGGTCTTTTAGTTGTCCGCAACTCTCCCTTTTCTTGCACAAGCAATTCTTATCGCCCTCCTATCCTTAAATTTGCTAGTTACAGTTCCGATCCTAATACAATTAAACATTTTGTTAACATTAATTAAATAATTTCACACTCTCATATATACATATATATTTAATTCATGTGATTAATTAAAATAACTTTGTAAAACTCACCTTGACATCGGTTGACAATCCTACCCACCTCACGCACGCGAGCTCTCTTTTTTTCACCTCCCTTTGATCTAGGCTAAACTCAACAGAGCAGCGCACAACTTCGAATCCCCTCCTTCCTCTTATTCCTAAAGTGAGCCATAGATCGTGTCTCCTCATTTCTTCTTCTATGCACGGGTCGACAAACTTATCGTGCGTAAAGTTCACTTCCGGGACTTCTTTCTCTTACCTCTAGCACGACGCTAAATTCTGGTAATTGGAGCACGTGAGAATCACCTCCTTCGGGTAGGACTGGACAAGACTATGACGTTGCACGTGCATAGCTTTGAAGCTGCTCGACTATCTTCCTTTCTCTGTATCTTCTTCTTCCTACGACTTCTTTACTCGACTGGGGCATGATAGAGGCGTTGTGCATTCTCTTCCTCTTCTTTCTTCTTCCTTAAATCGATTAGGGCATGCATGAGATCTCTCTTCTGATCTTCTTTTCTCCCCTCGCTCCTTTGATGATTTGAATGAAGAGATGACCGAACGATAGCTATATGTTTCATTTGAGGGGATGTGTTTCTCTAATCGCTCGCACATTTTTATTTTTTTATTATTATATTTATTTGTTATTACAATCTCCCCTCCTTATAAAATTTTGTCCTCAATATTTGAAAATAAACATGAAAGTGAACATAATTCGAGTGAAAAGACGTGAATATCTTTCTTGCATCTCAGAAAACTTCTCCCAAGTACCATCTTTCTCCTATCAATGCTTCCATAAATATTCACAGAATGGATCTCTCTATTTTGCAACTTTTTCATATCATAATTCAAATCTGTTCTGGCTTTTCAACATAAGTCAAATCAGGTTGAATATCAACTGAGTCTGCTATCACGCCACTAGCTTCATCTATATTATACTTTCTCACTGAAGAAATGTGGAACTTATTATACACTCCCTACATATGAGCTGGTAAAGACAATCAGTAAGTCATCTTCCTCTCTCCACAATCTCAAATGGACCGACAAATCTGAGACTCAATTTTCATGTCTTCCCAAATCGTTGCACACCTTTCAATGGACCGATCTTGATAAAAATAAACTCTCCAACTTTAAACTCAACAGGTCTATGCTTGGCATCATAGTATTTTCTTTGTCTATCTTGGCATTGCCTTCAATCTATCTCTGATTAGTCTGATCTTCTCAATAACATCATCAACTGAATAAGCTCCAATAATCTTCCTGTCACCTGGGTGTCTTGCACTTCAAGGCTTCATATGGAGCCATCCTAATGCGAGCCTAATAACTATTATTGTAAGCAAACTCTGCTAAAAATATATGTGATTCTCAACCTTTATCAAAGTCAAGAACACATAACCTTAGTAGATCGTCCAAGTTTTGAATAGTCTTCTCTGACTGACCATCTATTTGAGGGTGAAATATTGTACTGAAAGTCAGTTGAGTGCTCAAAGCTTCTTGAACTTTTTTCCACAATATTGAAGCAAGTGTTTCATCTTTGTCAGAGACAATAGACTTTGACACCCCATGCAACCTCACAACTTGTTCCACATATAATTTGGTCGGCTTCTCAATTGGACCTGTTTATCTAATAGGCAGAAAATGGGCATATTTAGTTACTCTATCAATAATTACCCAAATAGCACATGACCCTCTCAACAAATGAATAACAAAATCCATCGCGATCTCCTCACATTTTAACTTTGGAATTGGTGAAGGTTGCAATTGACCTCCGTGACGTTGTTGCTCTGCCTTCACCAGCTGACATGAAGGACACTTAGCCATAAATTATGCCACATTTCTCTTTAATCATGACCACCAAAATGTTTCTTTAAGATTCTGTTACATAGTGTATAGTACGTGGGTGAATAATATATCCAAATAAATGTGTTTCCTCTAGAATTTCTTTCCTCAAGTCATCAATATCTGGAACATAAATCCTTCCATTGTATCTCAACAAATCTTTCTAATCTAGCACATACTTCTCCAAACTGTCTGCCTGAACTTGCTCCAGAACTTTCTGAATACTGCTATCTCTTGCCAAGGATTCTCCAATTCTGCTATTCAAAGTTGATTGCACCGTCAAACAATATAATCGAGCCATATTATCATCATCATAATCAACTATAGTCAACTTCAACTTCTTCAGATCTTTAATGAACCACTCCTGTTGCATAAATAAATAGTTCAAATTATCTTAAGTTTTTCTACTCAACGCATCAACCACCACATTTCTCTTCTAAGGATGATCTTGAATATCAAAATCATAATTTTTAATTAATTTCAGCCATCTCCTCTACCTTAGGTTCAATTCTTTCTGAGTGAAAATATACTTCAAACTGTAGTGATTAGTAAAAACTTCACATCTAACTCCATACAGATAATACCTCCATACCTTGAGTGAAAATGTAATTGCAGCAAACTCCAAGTTATGCATAAGATAGTTCTTTTTACGATTCTTCAATTGATGTGATGCATATGCAATGACTCTACAATGCTGCATAAGCGCACAACTTAACCCCTTCAGAGATGCATCACTGAAATTCAAAACCCATCAGAACCACCGAAATGAATGGCTAATACTGAAGCTGACATTAAGCAACTTTTCAGCTTCTGAAAAGCCTTCTCACAACGGTCTAACCATTCGAATTTCATTGCCTTTTGAGTCAATCTTGACAACGACATAACAATCTGTGAAAACCCTTCAACAAATCTCCTGTAATAATCAACCATACTTAGAAAAATACTGATCTCAGTGACAGAAGCAGTTCTTAATCAATTTTCAATCGTCTTGACTTTATTCTGATCCACCCCGTCTCCACTAATAATGTGCCCAAGAAAAGCCACACTTTTAAGTCAAAATTCACATTTAGAAAATCTGACATAAAGGGTATTCTCCTTCAAAACATGTAACACGTCATTTACATGATTTGTATGACTGACTTCATCCGTCAAATACACTAGAATATCATCTATAAAGACAATCATAAAAGTATCTAGAAACCGCTTGAAGACCCTATTCATCAGGTCCATGAAACCTGTTGTAGCACTTGTGAGTCCAAATGACATCATGAATTTATAGTGCCCATATATCGTCCCGAAAGTGGTCTTCTATATGTCTTCTTTTCTAATCCTCGGCTGGTGATAGCTTGACCTCAAATCAATCTTTGAAAATGCAGAGACCCCTTCCAATTGATCAAACAAATCATCAATCATCGGTAGTGGACATTTATTTTTAACTGTGAGTTTATGTAACTCCTTGTAATCAATATATGTTCTGAAACTGTCATCCTTCTTCTTCACAAATAACATTGGAGCTCCAAGGTGATGTTCTCCGTATCTTCCTTCCTTCCTTCCTTCGAGGCTGCTCGACAACCTTCTGTCCTCTGCATCTTCTTCTTATTCTTCCTAATACTTCTTCACTGGACTTGGGCACGACAGAGGCGTCGTATGTTCTTTTCCTCTTCTTTCTTCTTCTTACAATCGATCAGGGCACGCACGAGATCTCTCTCTTGATCTTTCTATTCTCCCCTTGCTCGTTTGATGGTTCGAATGAAAAGACGATCGAACGACAACAATATGTTTCATCTGAGGGGATGTGTCTCTTTTATTGCCGGCAGCTTTTTATTTATTCATTATTATATTTATTATTATTATTATTATTATTAAATTTTTTGTTATTTCAAATTTAGTTACAAGGTGTGGGTTGTTGCCTTGTTGGAGTTAGGGCGTGCTAGATAGGGAGAACAACAAATAACATCTAGGGGAGTGTGGTCCATTGGTGAATCAATTAGGCTGTGGGAGGTAATGTCACCACAGTTAGTCATACTATTCGAGTGTGAGTTGTTGGGGTTTGAGGTTAGTTCTATGTGTGGAAAAAAAAAAGGATGCGATGGTTTTGGGACGTGGAGGACATGCACGGGTTGCTAGGGCTTATGCATAAGCGAGTAGTGGAGGCAGATGTCGAAATTGCTAATGTGAAACTACACAAATTTTCATTTGGCACTTTGCCATACACAAGATTGATGCTAACCGCTTTTGAGTTTTAAGTTTAGGAAATATACAAATCCATTTAATGTATTGAATTAGCCTTCTTAGCAAGGTATACAAAACCAATATTTATTGTAATTCTATAGTTTGTCTGGCCATTGAGACACATATATCAATTTCTATTTTTCTTGGGCCCCGATAAAACTGGTACAACACAGATTTTGGCTTAGGTGTATTAGGTACTTGGCTAAAAGTTCATACATAATGCTCTGTACAATTTCATGCTTCTTAGTTTCATCCAATAATTTGTAGATATTAGGTGAGATGTCATTGGGAGAAGGCTGACGTCACTTTTTAGCAAGTAGTATATTGATGTCACTATTCTTGACGTCGATATTAAACTCGAGATAATGAACTCATATTTGGTTATAGGGAGCTGCAATTTATTGGTGAGTGTAAGGACTGGTTTTAATTATGTCTTTCTCAGTGAATCTGGGGTTGTAGTGACAACTGGTGGAGGACGAACTCATATTTAGTTAACTGTGAGGTTGTTGGTTTAAAGGGAGCTGCAGTTTATCACCAGAAGGCTTAGGCGGAGCATTGCTGGTTGAAGAATATCAGAATTCCTCGGGGAGTTGCTCTCTAATTTATATGCTAGATTAACTGCTTCAGAAAGCTGCCATATAATCTGACACCAGTATAATGCGTGCTTTTTCATTTCAAATTAAAGGACAAAACTGCCGCGTCAAGAGCGAGAGAAAGAATGATAGATAGAGAGTGAGAGATTATTTGCATGCTATTTTTCCAGGTGAATAATATAAAGATTAATGTGGTACCATTTCAGAAAACCTCTTTAATCTTGATATTTACATGCTAGACTAGCCTGCATTTCAAGTCACAGGTTATGTTGTTAATTTCAGATATCAGCAGAAGAAACACCTATTGGATGTAACTGAGATCTTTAACCAGCTCAATGTCGAAAAGAAGCGTCGCCTTGTCAAACTCATCTATCTTGTTATTCTTCTGTTTCTATCTTTATTTTGGTAAGTAGTTGATTGATATCTCATTGGGCTAAAACCTCCTAAATTGAGCTAGTAACCTAAACGCTCCCTTTTGCTTCTATGCAGGATGGTATTGACATTGTTAGACGATGACTAGTTTCAAATTCGCCACAATCGGTTACACAGTGGGCACGCAAATTGGTTTATGGAGATGGTTTCTACTTGCTAAGGTTAGAAGTTTTGCACCATAATTCCAAGTCATCACCAAAGGGTAGAAAGTTGTTGTGTTCCTTATGCCTTGTGATTGGATGCATGGATCAATGTGGAAATGGTTTAAGAAGAAGAGCTGTATTCCTGCCATGTATTTTCACACTCTTTTAGGGGCTGTTGGGGATCATTGTTTTCTATTTATTATTTTTATTTTTGTTTTGTTTATATTTAAATTTGAATTAAAAAATATTTGACTATGATTGTTATTTTTAGTAGCACTTGGAACTGTTTATAGGTGTTTTTTAAAACAAGGTGTTTTTTAAAAAAATAAAAAATATATAAAAATTATACAAACCAAACATAATTTCTAAAATAAAAGCAAAAGCAAAAGCAAAGGCAGAAACGGAAAATAAAAGTGATACCAAACAGGCCTTAGTTTGAGGGAGAGCTAAGTGTTAAGTTTTTATCTCGTTTAGCATTATGTAGACTGGTAAATTAAATCAATCGTAAAAAAACAAATGCCGAGAAGGTGATGCCAAATTTAATCCCGAAAGTAACGAGTCTTCTCGCAGTTATCTGACATAAGTATGCAGGTAAAATTCATCCTCCATAACAAAGTTACAGAGGTAACAAATATTAAAAGATTGAACATCATGTTTATTCAGCAAATTTTTACAAGCTTGTTTGTGATCAAGAAGCAGTCAAAGGAATACATAAAATTCAAATGAAAGCCAAAGAAGAGAATCTCACACTCTTATCGGTACTAAAAATATACAATTTGTGCCATCCTTAGAAAGATATACAGGAATAAATAAGAAGTCACTGTGCAGAACAACCAGAGTTGCTGTATCCAGCTTGTCACATGTTAGAAATTGATACAAGAGCTGACTTGAGATCATTGATAAGGCATAATTAAGTTTAGGGGCATTTAAATACATAGCACACGATAAGATTTATGTATCTCATACTAAAGCCTTCATATTTACACACAGCACTCGAGTTTTTAATATCACATCAAAAACAACACTATTATCATTTTTTAAAAGTGAAATATATCTTTTTATGCTTTAGTTTAAAGTACCAAAGTACTATGTATGCAAATATGAAATTTTATATGTGAGATATGTAAATTCATAAAAATTGTGTGCTGCGTATGTAAATTTCCCTATCCTTCATCCTTTCTTCCATCCATCTTTGTGTCATCTTAGCAATGAACTCATCCGCCCTCGTTTGAAGATCTGCTGGGTCAATGTTATGATCATCTTCATGATCATAATCCCCGTCGTCATCATAGCCATCCGCATCACCATCATCGCTATCATAGCCATCCGCATCACCATCATCATTCATTCTTGCTATATGATGTGGAATATCAATTTCATAGGCATCGCCATTATCACCATTATAGCCATCTGCATCACCAGTGTCATTCATTCTTGCTATATGACGCAGAATATCAATTTCATCTTGAACTTTTTCGTCCGAAGATGATAACTTCTGGCGACTGAGAAAGATGGCAGTGATGACAAAGTCAAAGAGAAGGACTTCTACTGCAAAATGGCTGGTGGAATTGAGCTTAAATCCTCCGTTTTGTATCCCAGCCCAAAGATTCATCCAGGAAGTCAGCAGAGCTATTGCTGCTACTAAAATGATCACTGAAGAAAGCATTGTTCCTGAATTTCTCTTCTTGTGATTTCAAGAAAATTCAATAAGCTGTTAGGACAAAGTTTTCTTTAGGTTTTTAATATATATATACAGAGCTGAGAAGCAGAAGAGATTTCTAAAAACTCCTTTATATCAAGCGGAGAGAAGTTGACCCGAGGTCTCTGTGATATTGCGCAGAACATGCGGCTTAACTTGTGCGAGAGAAGAAACCGTGATTTTCCGGGAAAGCTAACTAGCCGTTAAGTTTTAAGGTATGTCTGGTAGCATATTTTTAACAGTATTTAGTCATAAATTTAATTTAAATGCAATCAAATATATAAAAAAAAATGAAAATTAAATTCAACTCTCCGTAAAATTGAATTTGTTTCAATCTGGATATGAATACATCCAAATGAGAGACAAATTTAAAGTATTTACGTTGCCGTTGTTTGCGACTTCCATTTTCGTCCAGATATGATAAATCCTATTTAAGGTAAAGAAATCCGGAGTTGCAACCAAACACCGCCTAAGGGAGACCATCTATTTCACCTCGTGCTATTTTGAAATATTATTAATCTCGAGTTTTTTTCGACCATGTGAAAATAACAGAGATGATTTCAAGGAAGGCTGATGAATTTTCTTTTTAATTTTCTGAACTAAGTCTCTTTAAATATTTTTAAATGCTTTTGCGGGATCGTGGCGTGTAGAGACCTGACCTCTTTCCGTCCGCTCCTACCCGAAACCAGTGAGGAAGATAACCTTCGTCTTTCCCCTCTTCATCCCAGTTGCCGACCCGCGCTTCAACTCGTTTGAATCCCGTAAATCCATCTATCCGCTCCTACCCGAAACCAGTGAGGAATATAACCTTCGTCTTTCCCCTCTTCATCCCACTTGCCGACGCGCGCTTCAACTCGTTTGAATCCCGTAAATCCATCTCCCAACGGAATTTGCTAAATCAGTGAGTTAAGGCAAACCGAAGGAGATACGAGATTTAGGAGTTAGTAGGATTTGAAGATGTCTTTTTTACTGTATGTTAAATTTTTAGGTGTTATCTTCATGGTTGCTATAGATTTAGGTGTATGTATGTAAATCCTTAGAAAAAAATAATCCTTGAATTATATTTGCTTGCATATTAATATAAAAAAAATCAAATATTATTTTAATTACGTTAGTTAGTCAATGTTGGTAATTCATTTCTTTTAAAAATATTATAATAAACTAATGATAATAATAATAATAATAATAATAATAATAATAATAATAATAATAATAATGTGTGCATAATGATAAAACTTAATTGCATAATTAATCTTATTTTTTAATTGGTGTAGGATCAATAGTTTTGTCATTCATATTTTTTTTCTAAAGTTGTTCATAAATTTGTAACAATTTCTATTTTTGCTCATTATGACTTTAATGTGTAATTAAACATATTTTATTGTTGCTTAGTCTCGTGTTTGATTATTCATATTTCATGATTTCAATATTTATTATTTATTTAAATCTTTGATGTGTCAAATCTCATTATTTCATAATTATTTATAAATATTGATTAACATTTTGTAGTCATATTCTCTTGTTTTGATTGTAATGTGTGAAATATAATTAATATTAGAGTATTATTATATTGGTATTAAACCCTTTTGTTATGTCTAGTCGGACCACCGGTCATTAGAGAAATCGATGGATTTTCATTGGATTGGTACCTACCTTTTCTTGTTTCAGGTTCATAGTAAACCGACTATACATATATATAATCATATATATTTATGTACATTCCAAAATTATATATTATTCGGAAGGGTTAAAAGATTGATGTGTCATATGTGTACAAAAACACATGATGTTGTAACATGTAAATATCCACATAAAAGTCTGTGTTTGAATTACTTTTATTCATGATCATAAGTATATGATAGTCTTTGCAAATTCTGTTATACACATAATAAATTATTACTATTTATTGGTCATACTGAATGCCCCATTTTCCTTTTCATTTATTTTTAATAAATATTTGTTATTTACTGATTTTGATTTTCAAACTCGCTTCTTGATATTTTATATAACGAGTTTCACCTAATCATCTACCGGACTGCCTCCACCGGAGCAAACTTTTTAGCTTTAAATTTACTCTTAATGTTTTCTGTTTTATATTAGTCATTGTATCTTTCTTTCTAAGTTTAGGTAGTTGTTTCCCTATTTTTAAATTAGTTTCTTCCAGTCATCTCATTTTATTTCAGTTGTATCTGTTGGACACTATTTATGGAATAAAATTAGATATTTCTTATTTTTGTTTGCTATTAGTTGCATATCTCTTTCCTTTTAAGAATACAAAATAGGTTCAATACTTTTCATGATGTCTTGTGTTGCTAGGGTGCACTGCCTTCTAGACCTAGGTTATGACAGAGTGGTATCAGAGCTTATATTTTGTACTTGATATCATTAAATTTGCATCCCAGATCCTGTGTCTTCACATTTCACATCCTTTGTCCTCTTAGGGTTAGGTAGAGGACAGGGTACTCATGTTAGTCAGTTATTCAATCGATTTTCATTTCGAGTATCTTTCAATTGCCTAGAATGACTCTAAAGAGAAGAGGCGTTGCAGCCCCTCGTAGAAGAAGGGTCTTGAGAGCTATTATAGAAGATGTACATGCTCTTAGTGTCTCCGCACCCATAACTGTTGTTGTACTGATCTTGCTCAAACCACTAAAACTAGCAGAGTACCAAATCTCAACATAACAACTCTCGTGGAGATGGTAGCACAAAATGTCACTCAGATATTGCAAGCCAAATTTGCAGTGCAAATCATGCAAGATGTTCAAGCTATTCAACAAGCGGCACAAACAACACCACAAGCCACTCAATCAGTACCACCAGTGGCCTCCACAGGGGCACAACCCAATCAATCAATGGTGATGACCAATGTAAGTGCCTTGGATTGAGTGATGAATCAATTTCTAAAGACACATTCTCCTACCTTCAAGGACACTGTGGAAGGCATGGCTTCACGACATCGAGAAGAGGCTTTGAGAAATAAAGTGACATGAAGATCATAATGTGGGCGGTGCAATGTTTCAGTTGCATGAAGGAGTTGGCGATTGGTGACGAAGTCATCGCCATAAAATGTTTAGGCTAGACACGTTAGCTTCTTAGGCGGATTTTGAGAGACTATTCCTAGAATAACATTTCTTTTTACCTAACAAGGACAGGCTCATGAATGACTTAAGAAAACTAGAGCAAGGAACAAAAAAAGTTCTGGAATACGATATATAATTTGTCAGGATCATTCGTTTCATTCCTTTAATTAGTCAACATGAAGATAAGAAGAACTGTCACCTACTTATTATCTTGAGAGAAGACATTCAAATGTGTCTATCAACTATCAAGTGTGCAACCTACAGAGAATTGGTGGATCGAGCTATACATGTAAAGATAGAGCTTAATGCATATGAAGAAAAGACCGTCACAAAACGAAAGGACACTGATGCTCCGGTGCAGGAAGGACCACAAAAGAAGCCAGTGAAAGACAAACCAAATAACAATTCTAGTGGCCCTAACTGCGGGAAGAGAAACT